CATTCGGTGTTGCCGCGAGATAGCACTTATGCCAGAAAGCTCACCCCAGGGGAGCTAATGCAAAGTGCCTCGATCTCATGGGCTTCCACCACGGCCTTCTTTGCCGAGATGATCCAACGTTATGGAAAACTCATGGAAAACTATGAGCCTCCTGCTGAGCTCCAGAAGAAAATTGCCGACCTGGAAGAAAAGCTGAAGGCAACCGAGCTGAAGCGCGACAAGGCCGAGGCGGCTAAGAAGAAGGCCGAAGTCGCGAACAATTCCCTGGTGACTGCTCTTGATGAGGAGAGAGAAAGAATGGCCTAGGAAGAACAGTCGACCAAGGAGGCCATAGACAAGGCCGGGGTCACTGCCGTGGAAGCCTTCCGGACGTCGGAGTCTTCCACCCATGACCTCGGCGAGCTCACCCTGCCGAGTTTCATGTTCGGCTATACGTCGGCCATTAACGATGCGACGTCCTTTCTTTCTTCTGAGCAGCTGGGGTCCCTTCAAAGCGCTCCACACTATAATGAGGATGCCAAGGAACTGTGCGACCGGATGGTTGAGGGTATCCAAGCTGGAAAAGACCTAGCCGATATCCGTGCCGAATTCAACAAGTGGTTCCAGGAGTTTGAGTTGGATGGTGACAGCGCTGAAGGGGGCCACGCCGGCGGAGGAGCTGAAGGGCAGCAGGAAGCCGAGGCGGGCGGAGGAACTACGGGAGGACAGGGCTCCGGGGCAGGGAATGCTTAGAAGCATCCCTTTTTTGTAATTAGGGCCGAGGTCATGGGTAGCCGACCTCGGTCCTCCATCTTCCGTACTTCAATAAAATTGATTTCATATTTTTGCATTCTTTCTAATTGAGTTCAGTTTTCTTCTCTTGACTACTGTTTTGTCCCCTTATTTTTCGCTTGTAATGGAATGAAACTAAATGAGAAATAACTTAAAACTTAGGATTGAAAGTACGTACCCTTCAAGGGTAATACAATTTGAGATTTTCGGCATGTCAAATTCGGGGCACCCGAGACCCATCTCGGTAGGCCAATTTACAATATCCATTTTGGCTGGACTCGACAACACGGTAGGTCCCTCCCACTTGGGATTTAATTTTCCCTGAGGTTCAGCTCAGCTGACTGAGTTCTTCCGGAGAACAAGGTTTTCCGGATTGAATCGCAAGTGCTTGACCCGGGCATTGTAGTAGCCAGCTAAGATATTTTATAAATGGCGACCTTGGCTGCGGCCATATCGCGCTTCTTTTCGGCAAGGTCGAGGTTAACTCGCCGTTTCTCTTCGTTGATCTCGGCAGTGTATGCAGCCATTCGTGGGCTGGGAGTGATGAATTCGGTGGGGACGACAGCCTCGGACCCATAAGTTAAGGAAAACGGGGTCTCTTGGGTTGCTGACCTCGGCGTAGTCCGGTAGGACCACAGCACGCTGGGGAGCTCTTCCATCCAGGATAATCCTGCCTGGTCTTGAGGCCATGGAGGAGAGTTCGGTTGAAGTTTTCAGCTTGTCCATTTGCCTGAGGGTGTCCAATCGAGGTGAAATGCTGCTTAATCCCCAAGTTTTCACACCATGCCTTGAAAAGATTATCCGCGAACTGCCTGCCATTATTCGAGATGACCACCCGGGGCAGGCCGAAACGACAGACCACACTTTTTCAAAAGAATTTTTGAACAGCCGCCCCGGTGATGCTTCTCAGAGGCTCGGCCTCAACCCATTTGGTGAAATAGTCCACGGCCACCACCACGTAAGCATAATTACCTGGAACCCTGGGGAATGAGCCAATGATATCAGTTCCCCGCTGCTCGAAGGGTCATGGCGAGGTGATAGGGATCATAAGATTGGTCGGTTGGTGGTGCTCGGGGGTATGATGCTGGCAAGAGGGACAGCTAAGGACCATGACCTGGGCATCTACCCTCATGGTGGGTCAGAAATATCCGAGCAGTAAGGCTTTTTTAACTAGCATCCTATAGCCAACGTGAGCACCACAAAATCCTTCATGAATGTCTTGCAGGATCCTCTCACCTTCTTTCGGCGTAATACACCGAAGCCAAGGGCCGAGGTATGACCTCTTGTACAGGTAGTTGTCCCGAACAGCATACCGAGCTGCCTTACGTGGCAGTTTCTTGGACTCAGCTCGGTCCTCTGGAAGTTCACCCCGGCTAAAAAATCGAACCAGCGGTCCCATCCAGGTGTCCCCTGGGTAGATGGGGTATACGACCTCCCCAATATATCCCGATTCGACCAAGACTTCCACGAGAACCGTCTTGTTCAAATCAGAAAACGAAGTGGACGCAAGCCGGGAGAGGGCATCAGCCCTTCTGTTCTGAGACCGCGGTATCCTTTGGATTTCGAAGGACTCGAAATGCGTCACCAACTGGAGGACTTTAGAGAGGTAGCGGTGTATCACCTCTTCTCTGGCCTCGTATTCACCCAGTATTTGGCACACAACGAGTTGGGAGTCGCTATAGACCAAGATATGCGCGGCCCCGAGCTTACGAGCTAGCTGCAGGCCGCCGATGATCGCTTCGTATTCGGCCTCATTATTAGAGGCAGCGAAGTCAAATCTTAAGGCATATGAGCACACTTCTCCTTGGGGGTTTTCAAGGAGCAAGCCTGCTCCACTATCCTCACTATTGGACGAGCCGTCTACATGCAAGACCCATCGTTGCAGTTCGGCGGGAGCTAGAGTAGTATCTTGAGTGGTCTTATTCACCTCATCGAAGGTGAGTTCGGCTAGGAAGTCTGCAAGAGCCTGAGCTTTAATTACCGTGCGAGGTTCAAAAGATAGGTCATACTCTCCCAGTTCAATGGCCCACTTAGTGAGGCGTCCAGAAGTCTCAGGCCGTGATAAGACTTGCCGGAGTGGTTGGTCAGTTCTTAGGCAAACGTGGTGGGCTAAGAAGTAGGGCTTGAGCATTTGAGCTGCATGGATTAAGGCCAGCACGAGCTTCTCCGCCGGAGTGTATCTGGTCTCTGGACTTCGGAGGACTCGGTTGACATAGTAGACAGGCATTTGTACTCCTTCCTCCCTTATTAGCACGGCACTTATAGTTTCGACCGCAGCAGATAAGTACAAGAATAACTTGTCCCCTGGACGATGTGAGGTGAGTGTTGGGAGGTGGTGAAGGTATTCCTTCAATTGTTCGAAGGCCTGTTGGCATTTCTCAATCCAAGAGAAGCTATCTGCCTTCTTTAGTACCTTGAAGAAGGGCAACGCCTTAGAAGCTGACTGCGATAAAAATCGGTTCAGGGCTGCTAACCGCCCGATGAGCCTCTGGACATCACGGATGCACCGAGGTGGAGACATCTCTTGAATTGCTCTCACCTTATCCGGGTTCGCTTCTATGCCCCGCCGGGAGATGAGGTAGCCCAAAAATTTCCCCGAAATGACCCCAAAGACACATTTCTTGGGGTTCAACATCATTCGCGTCTTCCGGAGGACCTCGAGGACCTCTTTTAGGTCGGAAAGAAACGTGGAGGTCGTTAGGATTTTAAGAAGGATATCATCTACATAGGCCTCAACATTTCTGCCGATCTGAGATTTGAATGCTTGGTTGACCAAGCGTTGATACGTGACTCCGACATTCTTTAGTCCGAAAGGCATGGTAGTGTAGCAATAAGTGCCTTTGTCAGTGTAGAAGGCCGTCTTTTCTTGGTTTTCCTGACTCATTCCAATCTGATGATACCCCTTGAAGGCGTCAAAGAAACAGAGGATCTCATAACCCATTGCTGCCATGTTCCGTGCTCTACACGCTTGTTAGCCTCGAGAAGTGACGACCTCTAGAGACCACAACCTCGCTCTTCCCGAAGCTTGGGGGGCTCAGTGAGGATGGCCATTTCAGCTCTGCCAGTCCGAGGTCCTATCCTGTGGAGTCTCCTGAAGCCTCACATCGGCACGTTGAATACCAACGTGAATGCAACCTATTTATCACTTCGGCTAAGAACCTCGGATCGTACGCCGAGGTGACACCGGAATAATAAACAATTACTGAAAGCGGGAAAGGGCGTCTGACACAGGTCATTGGAATGGTATAAAGCTGCTCTGACACCCGCCGTCCGTATCTGACCACTGCCCTTGCACAGCTTTCCACACTGACCAGTCAGATCAACCTGATACGATGTCCTTGTCAAATCTCTGAGGACCTGTGTTGACAGTCCCTCTCTCCAAGTTGTACCTTATAAATACCCAACACCTCCATTGAGGAAGGGGATGGTCAATTTCTGGTAAAACACTCTAACTTCACCCATTACTTTCTTGCTATTCTATAACCGAACTAACTTAAGTTTCGGAGTTACAACGGGGGATTCAGACCCCTCTCATAACTTTAGCAGGTGACTTAGCTGCGGTGACCACCACGTCCAGAACGTTTCTCCAGTTCGAAGGGCTCACCCCAACAAGATAGAAATCACCTCTTCATATAGCATTTTCGTTTGAAAGGATTATTTCTACACTCGTGGGGTTACACTTGATTATCAATACCAATGCAATCACTAGTTTAGAGAGTCATCACTGCAAGTACGAAGCACAAATAGGAGAAACTTGTTAATACCATTCTTTCTTGTATCCATTTGATTTGCAACTAGATGGGCAAAAACATATCATGGAACATTGCTGCTGTATAGCATTTTCGTTTGAAAGGACTATTTCTACACTCGTGGGGTTACACTTGATTACCAATACCAATGCAATCACTAGTTTAGAGAGTCATCACTGCAAGTACGAAGCACAAATAGGAGAAACTTGTTAAAGGAAGAAATTGAAATAGGTAATAAAAGCAGATAATATTAGTAGTCAGTCCTGCTAAGAAAAGAATACAAGAGGGGACAGGTCATAGACGGAGGCTTAGCTAAGAAAAATTCCGTGTTGATTGAAGGAAAATCACATATGAAATATGCTAACATACCAATAAGATGACATAGTTTTGACAGTAGCCGTATAGACTATTATTCCTGTGTTCTGAAATACAACAATAAGCCGTACACACATAGTTGTGCTCAGAGCACACATAGTTGTTCTAATCATCCTTAATCCACTTGACTAAGTTGTCGAAATTCTTGTCAGAACATCCATCTTCTTTAAGACTATTCATAACCTTTGCTTTTAAATCCAAGGCCCTCTCCCTGTAGCCTTTAACAGTGACTAGCTGCTCAATTTTGTTCTCAAGTTCTCCTTGTGCAATGATTCCATTTTCATCTTTTTCTAATCCTAATCCAACCTTCCAAATATCACATATGTAGCTTTTGTTAGCGAACTGGTCTCCAAAGCAAGGCCAGCAGACAAAAGGGACACCATTGCTCATGCCTTCCATTGTAGAATTCCAGCCACAGTGGCTGAGGAAGCAGGCAACTGACGGATGGCTCAGGACCTGTTGTTGAGGTGCCCAACTGGCTAATCTTCCTCGTCCTTGTATTCGATCTCTGAAACCTTTTGGATATGCACAATCTGTTTCTGCAGTTAAATTACATCTCACAACCCAAAGGAATGGCATATTGGTGAGTTCAAGTCCCAAAGCCAGTTCTTGGAACTGTGTGTGGTCAAAAACTGTTAAGCTCCCAAATGCAACATAAATGACTGATTGGACTGGTTGTTTATCAAGCCACTCCAAGCAATCCGAGTCTTCGGACCACTAGGAACCAACTGGTTTTCCAAGCCGGTTACTGGCTAGAAGAGGGCCAATAGGCAACATTTCTAGGAATGAGGTGAAGACTGATGCCTCTAACTCATTACTTGAGTTGCCGATAATCCTATCAGCCAATTTAAATGTTCTGTTATTTATTGCCATAGCATAAAAAACAATACCCCGTGTGGTCGCATCACCGACACTTGCCCAAGCAAAGTGTTCAGAGTCCATGGCTAATGTGGCGGGTGATAACTGAACCATCTGCTTCTTCATGATAGTTCCTGCCACAAAATTTGCCTTGACAAATGTCAAATTTGATAATCATTGATCTGGCAAAGCTTTTTTTTTTTCGTTTGCTGCAAAAATTTCCTTGCATTGATGAAAACTAATTCACTTGATATGTTTTTCAACTTTCAACTTATTTTGAAGCATCCAAAATTGCACCACCCTGTTCCTATGAGTTTGTTACTTTGCTTGCATTTTGATTTTTACCTTCATAGGTTCCAATTCTAATAAACTTTTTATTGTTTTACCATTTTATGATTACAAAGAAGTAAGTGCTTATATGAAAATGATGAAACTATAAAAGTATTATGCTGACATGAATCTTACCAGAGTTGTCTATGATTCCATCATCAATGAGCTTTGGAATATTGAGTTTCAGAGCATATAGAGCTGCTGCTACAGGCGAGAAGGATACTACCCTAACTCCTATTTTCTTCGCAACCTCCAGTGCCAAACCCAAGAACTCATCAACAATAATGCATGTGATTTTGTCACTTTCAGATTGATTTATCTTCTCAATTAGAGCCTCCAGCTTTGTAGGGATTACACGAAAAATCGCCTTCATTGACTTCGCCGCATCATTTCTGTCTTCCCACGATTCCAGGCCATCTAATCTTCCCCAGGTTTCCCCCCTCTCTCCTCTCTTTCTTTGGTTTCCTTTCTTCCTCCCTTCTCCCTTCCTCTCTCTCTCTCTCTCTCTCTCTCTCTCTCTCTTCCTTCGCTATCCCCAGAAACCCTTTTTCCTGTTTTCCCCGAAGCTCTCCCTCTCTTTCCATCTTTCTTGTTTTTTGTCTTCTGATCTCCACCACCCCCTCTCAATCTCTCCTCCCTCTCTCAGTTATTTCTCTTCCTTGTTTCTCCTTTCCCTTCAGCCGTTACCTCCTCTCCCGGTTTCTTTTTTCTTGTCCGAAGCCTTCTTGACCGCAGCTCCCTTTTCCTTTCTTGCTTGTTCCAGATTTTTCCCTCATCTTTCTACACCTGTCTTGCCACCTAGCCCCTTGCATGTGTTGTGCAAAAAACCAAGACGCATGTCTAATGCTCACCTAATACACTTAGCTACCATGTATGCCTTCCACCTATTTTGTTTTTTTTTTTTGTTTTTCAAAAAAAAATTTAAGGTAAACAAAATATTAATTCCTAATTGAGATTGCCTTGCAAAAATTTTATTTTATTTGGAATAAATTGAATTTGAAAAGACTAAAAATAAATTTTTTCTGAGAATTTTCCTTTTTTCAGAAATTTAATGCAAAAAATATTTCAAAAATGATGAACCTAATTCAATAACAATAGGTAATTATCATTTTGTGAATTTTGATTAACTAAAAATAAAATCAAATTAAAATCGAATTAAGAAGAATTGAAATTTTGGTGTCTACAAGTATAAAGAAAACAGTGAACCTTTCAAATATAGTGTTGCAATTTTGTACTTGAAACAAGAAAAAATAATGCTGGATAAGTTAATTAAGTAGAGTATAAAGATAAATGGAAGAACTGGAAATTTAGATGTGATTATATTAAATGGCAATTAGCAAAAGTAGTATATGTTAGTATTGTGAACAAAAATGTAATTAAAAATTAGATGAAAATTAGATTTTTGCATATGCGCATGTTGGAGCTGAAGTCCCTGCATATTGTTTAATCATAACTAATAGTATTTTGTTGTAATAAAAATAAAAACATGTTATGTTCGTAAATAAATTTTTTATCAAAATAAAAGGAAAAAGAAAAGAATCAAAGAAAATTCGTACCATGACACAAATGATGATTGTGACAAGTGTCAACTAATGAAATATTAGCCTCGTTTGGTAAATGATTTTTTTTTTTGGTATTTGTCTAAAACTTTACTGTAATTTAATGTAGAAGTTGTAGGAAAAATTTTTGAAATATGTAAATTTTTGGGTATTTTGAAGTGTATAGTGTAAAAATTTTGAAAATTTTTTTGAGATGACTGTAGTTAAAGTTGTTAAAAAACATGTAGAAGATAAACTTGGCCAAAAACTTGTTTGTTAAGCAAAGTCACTACTGGAGTTAAAAAAATTTTAGGTATTAACATGAGAATTAGTTAGGCAACAATTGAAAATTTTGCTTGAATATTTGGAATAAGGAGAAAGAATGAGAAGGACAAAAAAGTAAAAGAAAGTGGATTTGCTTAAGGATTGATATTCTATATTTTATATACTGACAACATACACACTGTCAGTTTTTGATAAATGACAACTATACAAAATTTATATTTGGAATCGAACTTTTACACGTACGTCATAAATCCAACAGCAACAATGTATACATTGCCTGCGTATAGAATTTACTCTTCACTTAACCACCTATGAATATTTTAGTTTCAATATGGATTTAGATTTAAATGAGTCATTCGAATCCATCAAATCAAAACTCGCTAAATAAATAAGTCCAAGTAGCAATGTATAAGCATAACAAATAATCCAAAATTGAATTTAGCTTGAAAAAAAATACACGTGACATGCATTTGGACTAGTATATCTACTTTCAATAAAGAAAATATTAAGCCTTTTTTTTACTATCTATACAATAGATAAAGTTAAAGATTAGAAGCATTATCATGTAGTGTTTACACACGCTTAATATTTTCTAAACTTTCATTTATACCTTTATTATTAAGAGTATTTAATTTTTCTTCAGATAAAAAATTATGATTTCAAGGGTAGTTGTGTTAATTAATTAATTACACTCCCTCCTGTTTTAAAATATGAACTTAAATTATGTTAGTAATTGGCCAATTGAAATTAATTCCCAAAAAGATCACCATATCATAAATATCCTTGACAAAAACTAATTTTCATGAATAATATTTTTACAAAAAACCATAATTTTGATTACTTGTGCACACCTAGAAAGTGTCTTACGCACTAATATGACATTAAGTACCAATTGTTCGTTGACTTTTTTTTTTCTTTACTTGCAATTGATCATTGATTCATTTTGCATACTCTCAAAACCTTAAGGTTAAAAAAAATTACTCATAGTTTGAGGATTGCATCACATATTTCATGAATTTTCACAAAAATTTATCTACACAAATTTTACCATCAATCAAGTTTAGCATAAGTCAATTTATTTCATGTACTTAAAAGGCATTCAGTAAGTTGGTCCCTTAAGGAATGAGTTTCAAAATTATTCATAGTGATGCTTATCATTTGATTAAGGTTAATTGGAATGAGTTAATAGATATCGTAGGCTCATTTTGTGATTGACTATTATTTTAATAAGGAATCAATATTTATTCACCAATGTAATTGATATTTTTAATTAAAAATAAAAAGTTAACAAATACTAGAAGAAATTAAGAGAATAAAGAAAATTTAGAAAAAAAAAGAGCAGGAAAAAGAAAAAAATGTAGACCTATTTCTATATTTTTTGTTATAAAACACTCTATGGGTTTCAAAAAAAAAATCCATTACTATTAACTAATAAATAATACTTAGTGAATGTAGGTGCATTGTTATTATAATAGAATACTTAAGAAAGTTTACGTGACAATAAATAATTAGGTGTTTAAAAAGTGTTAAATCAAGATGAACTTGATATACTTTAAACTCTTTAGAGAAATAGATCGAAGACACTCACTTCATGATAATGTGGAACAAATGGGATCTAACACTAGATTAAACTGAGTTAATGAATTTTGTACATGCTAAATAAAAATGTCGTCCGAGTTCCCAAAATGATAAAGATGCCACTTTAAAATAATTGGGAACGATGCATTGGGTCAAGAAGATCTCATGGATGCTAGAACCGAAGACAGGAAGGTGGCATCTTTATTCCTTCTCCATAACAGGCTCTATTTTTGGGAAGTTCCAAAAAACAAAAATTGGTGGCCACCACCAAAGTATTAAATCTTGATGGGGTGGGAGGCAGTTTGCCACAATTGAATGTGGCCTTGTTTAAAAAATCCAGACGGGTGCACTGGTGGTTCAGTCTCTTTCGAGTTACCTTTGGACCTCTTCAGGTTTTTCCCCTTCCTCATAATATAGGAAGCTCGACAAAAAAAAAAAAAAAAAAGATAGGCTCTATTTTAGGGAAGTTCCAAGAAACAAAACTGTGGGCCCCTTGTTCATTACCTTTTCTAGCCTGTCTGGGACTTCCTTTATTACAGAGAAATTGACATAAAGAGTGCTTTGCCCAAGCTACAATTTTCCTTTTTGTCTATCATTTAGCCCACTTGTTGTGTTGTCCTATTCCTGTTACTTCTTCCCACCGTGCAAAGATGACTCAACTTTGCACCATAGAAGCAATTATTCGTTGGTGGGACGATTTTTTTTCTTTTTTCTTTTTGTATTTAAATGGCAAAAGAAAAAAAAGTAACCTAGGGCTATTTCTCAAAATTAGCTTCTATCACTGAAATAAAAGGTTAAAGGGATAAAAACATGTGAAGTTATCTTCTCTTTTCATTGTGTTTTATTTGTAGTAAATAAAGTCTAATGTGAAAGAATCCATTGCTTTCTTAGTGATTATCATTGAATAAAACACTTGGAATAGCTAAGGGCATTCTTAGTTCTACGTTGAACTGGTATAAGAGATGCCATAAACTGGAAGCATAAAGATACTGCATGCTGCTGTATTTCTTTCAGCATGCAGCATGTGTGAGAACCCAAAAATTATTTTATATTTTCTCTTATTTTTGAAAAAGTTAATTTATATTTTCTTTTATTTTAATTTATATTTTCTCTTTTCCCTTTTATAATTTGGTGCATGTTAAGTTTCGTAGAGTATTATGATAGTTTGACTGATTAGTGAGGTGTGTGTATTATATTTGGTGGACAAGAACAGGTGTGGTGCTAGAGAAATTATGTGATTAGAATTATTAAGAGTGTATTAGAAGAATACAAGATAAATTGGTTATTGAGACGAAAGAGAGACAAAGAGATAGGAATGGAATCATGTTGTGCCATGTGTCAATGCTTGAAACTTCCATTGACCAAGACTTTTCTCTAGTCTTTCTCTTACATTTTAACAAAAAATTTCTTCATTTTTTCTTGCTCTTCGCTGAAATTAAGAGAGGGAAATAGGAGAGAAAAACTTCCACAGTTCATCTTGATTTCCTTGCTTGATTTGTGAAGAATCCAAAGGCCACCCTTAATCCACTCCAATAAACCTTGAGTTAAGCTTGGGAGGTGAGCCTTTGATGGAGTTATTTGAGGAAGAGAACTCTTTAGTTGCTTGTCATTTTGGGATTTTGAGGTAAATTTTCTACATAACATCTCTTTTTTACTTGTCTCTTGAGATTTATGCAAGATATGTTATGATTGAAGTTAAAGGAAGCATGTTCATGGTAATTTATGGTTTTGCTAGGGTTTGGTCAATTTCCAGCTTTAATGTTCAATTTTCTAACTTTGAGATGAATTTTCAACTTTCATAAGAGATGTTTTAGCTTTGATATGTGAATTTTAAGCTTGGTATGCAAATTTCCAGCTTTGAAAGGTAAAATTCCAGCCTTGATGTAGTTACTTGAAGCTTTATATATATGGAGTTGTGATGGATTTTCTTGCCAAGAATATATTCATAAGCCTCATGACATGTTAGTTATAA